GGTTAATTTCAATATTGTAACTTTTTCAGTGCTTGTGAAAAAAATTGTTACACAAATTTTATGTACCCCCTTTAAGGGGCTGTATCTTAACAAGGGATGCTCCAATGAAGTTTCTTCATATGAAAGATCCTATCTTTTTTTCGATGAGGAATCACCTCCTCAAATGTTTTACACTTCAGTTATACCCTGCATACATACATACAGATGAAGCTAATAAAAGCGTGTTAAAAAGGTATCATTTTTAGTACTTTTGGAGTACCTAACACGTTGTACTATCAAATATGATTTTTTTAACAGAATGGGGAGACTTTTGACCACTCATTGGAAAAGTCTTTCAACTCTCTATTCTCTCTATTGGATATCGGGCCAGCCGTTCCTGAGTAATTGTCATTATTATATAAAAAAAAATCCGTTAACAAACGATAAATGTCATAATTTATCCCGCTAAATATTCACCATTCACTGACAGACAATATTGTAGTCTACTGTTTTCTTATATCATAAAGTTTCTCTGGGGTAATTTCGTGACAAGAAACACAGGTTTGGGAATGAACTATTTTCTCGAAAACATTTGAAGGCGTCATTTATATCAGGTAATTCAGCGCATCATTCTAAAGAACCACGTCAGCCATTCTACTGCCCAAATTAGTTTTCAACTGACGTTACGTTTCAATATGACAGGCCATTCTCAGAATCTGTTTAAAAACTCTGTTTTTCCGTTAATCAGTTGTCGCCCCTATACGAACGACAACTCTCAGAGGTTGAGAAACTTGTGCGAGCTAAGTACTAACGAGGTCTTACCTTTTAACATGTGACTCCTAACACGGTATGGCCAAAAGAGTGTTGATAAATGGGAAACTAACCCAATAAACATTTATTCTACTTTCGATGTTGAATCGTACTCCATGAATAAAAACTTCATACATCATGTGACAAAAATATAAATCATAACATTTTTTAAAGGTTTATTACTCATCGCTTCATAATCACTAAAATGGTATTTTTTTAACAGCGTCTGATACGTATATACTACTATAAAAGCTATAATCAAACTTTACTATTCTTGGCAGTAACTACCTGCTTGCTTAAAATGCATGTTAGTCATATAAAATTGGGAATGAATCAGTTATGTATGTAATAAAAAAATGCCTATCCGCATACCAAACATTATGGCCGATTCTGGGAATTGGTCAAGAAAACATTTCGATGAGTATACCTGAGCCAATCTTATCTAAACTATAATTATAAAGAGATATAATTCGATTTTTCGAATGTTAGTTTGTTAAAAGATATACTTTTTCAATAACAATATTCATTCCGTACATTATTTTACACTTGATTCTATAGTTCAGTCTTTACGTTGGAAAAAACCAAGTAAAATCACTGAAGTCAAATGACTAGTACATGAGTAAAATTTCAACAATACTTCTTATTCAGTGATTTTGTGAGAAGAATAAGTGATGAACAAATTATAATTGGGATAAACAATTTGAAAATTTGTCATTTTTGTATGCGTATGTCTTTGAATTGTATAATGAAAACATAAACAATGAAGTCGTTGGATGAACAATGAGTATTCAAAAAATAAAATTTCACGGTTCACTACATGTAACAGAATAAACTTTTTTTAGTGCTTGTGAAAAAAATTGTTACACAAATTTTATGTACCCCCTTTAAGGGGCTGTATCTTAACAAGGGATGCTCCAATGAAGTTTCTTTATATGAAAGATCCTATCTTTTTTTCGATGAGGAATCACCTCCTTAAATGTTTTACACTTATTTAGTTACACCCTGTATATACAATCGATCTCTTCAAAAACACTTCACCAACTTTCTTCGCAAGCTTCTGATAATTCCTTTTCCATATTTTCTGTTTCACTATCACTGTCGTCATTTAAATCAATCAATAATGAATTTATTTCCACCAATAATATGGAAGTGTCCAATCTCCATATAGTAATTTTCAACCAAAATTACTTTTTCAATCCTTTTCTG